GTGCTCAAATGGGCATAGTGAAATGGTAGGTAGTATGGACCGACACCTTTTTTTATACTCCAACCACCATGAAGCCCTAAGGCCTAAACACCCATGGGATACAGTGGGACTATAGGGGGATGCAGGGGAAAGGGGGGACGCCACACGGACTCTGGCGAGGGAACACATGTGCATGCAACATGCACACATTCAGGCTTCAGGGTGGTACCTCTGCGTTCGACCGTCAGAGACCGTCTACTACCTACGGACAATTACAACGTCCATAGCCAAGAGACAAATTTCTCTTGAGACGAGATTCAAACCCGCACAGCGCACGGCTACTGATCAGGAGAACGAAGAGTCTACTACTACTGCGGCCACCGCTGCTGCCTATTCATATCTATTTATAAAAAAGATCTAAATTCAGTTTTACGGATATACAGGGTGATTTATCTAAACACGCCATAACTCAGGCACTATTGCACCGATTTGATTGAAATTTTGCACGATAACATAGTGTTAGGGTGATGGTTAAAAAGTCCGGAGCCGGACTCGATCTTTTCATTTCCTGTTTATAATCAAAATCAGCACCTTTAAGATGAGTAATGAAACATTTAACTACGTACAAAAAGGCTAATGAATGGTGCTAACTAAGTAGATTGATTGCGCCCCTTTTAGTATTAGTTTCTATTCGTTCGTCTTATGTTTAGCACCTTATGTGACAGAAAACAAAAAGTTCAAAGGTTATCAACTCGGTTTCTTCAAAATTTTCCAAAATAATTCTTGAATTAAATATACTTTGGAAGCTCAAAATTCCCAAATTCTATTCATCTTTCTTATTTCCTGGTCATTTAGTAAGTTATACTCTGAATTTATTATTTCGCATAAAAAAGAGCATTGAATGATTATAAAAGTATTTTGGGAAAAACGCTCGGATACATCAATTTTGATTTCTAGTGGGACGTCCTTTTATCTAGAGCCGTACACTTTAAAAGACATCCCCCTGGAAATCAAAATTGACGTGTCCGAACGTTTTTCCCAAAATATACCAAGATAATCACAAATGAAGCTGTGACCTCTTCGTTGGGCCGCCCTCTATACTTTTTCCGCTATTTTTTAAATGATTCAATTCTACCAACTGCTGTGCAATAGTGTGAATTCTGTTTCAAAGAGAAACTGCATCTAATATGTAATCCACTGAATTTGAGCTGGCAGAGCAACTTGAAATTAATTTATAGATCCACAAAAATGTGGTATGCTGGTCCTGACTTGACACTTATTTGCATGATTTCCATTCTATAAATGCCTAAGGTAGGGTTGTGGTGACCTCATGCAAATGTAATTAGTCAGTCTTCAAATAACCGAAGAGCCAAGGCACAGACGAGACGTTTTCTAACATGGGACAGAAATCTAAATTTAAATTGAGGCCCTGGTTCCAGTACCAGAAGAACTAGTAGAGCACTTCAAAAGGACACCCATAGTGATCCCTAAGCCATTTGTTTATCTTTACATGCACAGGCGCAATTATAATGTAAGTTTGCAGATTTTATAGTCAATCTTGTGATTCCGCGATTTTTAAGGAAATTCAAAGAAATCTGAGCAGCTTTCGTTCTCAGAAACGGCAGTGGTTAGCCACTCGGCATGTTGTTGTTCGCCCCGCAACTTTGGAACGAGGTGTTTGTTAGAAGATTGATAAAGAAAAAGATAGTCCTAGTCACCCCTTAAATGCTTATGCTGAATATAGGAAACATGAGCATATAATGGAATGTACTAGGTTGGTATCGAATGTACTCTCTACTCCCCATCTAATTTTGTATATTTTCGACGAGAATGATACGCACTCCCAATCATAATAGCATTGTCGGCATAAAGCATGGGCGATAGCACCACTACTTACTTACGGCACAATGAACAACGACGCTCGAGTGCACTTCAGTCATCGAATAACGAACAAACGCCGAGCGGTCTGCTGCTGCCCTGGCACACTCGATTTGAAAACCGCAATTTGAAAGAAATGCGCTCAGTCATCGTTCATGGCCCTCTATCAATCTTGTGGGTCTGTTTGAGCGCCATATGGAAAGCGGTGCGACCGCAAAACTCAAATATGTGTGCACGTGCACGCATAAGTGTGCATCTACTTGCGAATTCTGGGCAAACACGGTATTAACGCTGTTGGACCTATACTTCATAATTTGTTTTCTAATTCAGGAGATTGAACTGCATCAGACCCGGAAAACTACGACAGATGTTTATGTATATGGGACTTAGAAACAAGTGAAAGTACATATGAGGGAAATTTTGATCTAGCTAATGGAAGTATCTATGGCCCTTGCCCCCGGGGTGTTCCACAGCCTACCCTTCGATACAGAAGGATGCATTTTTCTCTTTCGGCATCGAGCATTCCATGATATTCTTTGGTGGTCTTTCTGACCACGCCTCTTGCACCTTACAGCACTGCTGTCCTGTCCCCCCTGGGTAACTCAGATCACGGTGTTGTGGAGGTTAGGTTTCGGTCAGAAGCCGCTGTGGCACCAGAAACTCGTACAGGCCGCAAAACTTGGCATTACGGACATGGCGACTGGGAGGGGCTCAAAGACTTCTTCTCTAGCTTTCCTTGGAGAGATGTCTGTTTCATTGACGCGGATGCGTCGACTGTCTGTTCTTCAATAACTGAAATTATCCACGTCGGAATGAAGGAATACATCCCTCTTACAGTGAAAGTTCCTAAACCAGGGTCCAACGGCTGGTTCAACAAATCGTGTGACATTGCTCGCCAGCAGAAGATCAAGGCCCACAGAACCTTCTTACAAAACCCCACTGTAGAGAACAGACAAGCCGACGTCGAGTCCAGAAACAAATATAACGAAGCGGTTCGCAATGCCAAAAACCAGCATGATAAAAAAGTTAGGCACAGGGTAATGTCGCAGCGCAATGGCAGTCGGTCTTTCTAGACGCTGGCCAAGCAGATTGAAAAGAACTTCTCACACAGTAGCCTTCCACCACTTACGTGTCAGGATGGAACTATTGTATTCGACTCAAAGGCCAAAGCCGAAGTGCTAGCCAAGATCTTTGCTGCCAACTCCACCATGGACGTCCCCACCAACGCCCAAGTGCCGTCAATTCAAAGGGTTCCCCACACTATGCGGGAGGTAACATTCAGGCATAAGACCGTAAGACGAGTACTCTTGTCGCTCGACATCAACAAAGCTTCTGGTCCGGACTTGATTCCTGTCATTGTACTGAAGAGGTGTGCAGCGGAGCTTGCTCCAGTTCTTTCGCGTCTCTTCCAGATATCTTATGAATCCGGCACCTTCCCAGAAAACTGGAAATTTGCTCATGTACAGCCCATCCCAAAAAAAGGATCTAAGACCGACCCTTACAACTACAGGCCTATAGCTCTGCTTTCTGTTATAAGTAAAGTGATGGAGAGGTGCATAAATCGCGAGCTTCTGGACTACCTCGAACGTCACAGCTTGATTGGCGACAGGCAGTACGGTTTCCGGCACCAACGATCCCCAGGGGACCTCCTAGCTTACGTCACGCAACTGTGGAGTAAACTCATCCAGTCTCATGGTGAGGCTCATGTCGTTGCTCTTGACATCACTAAAGCGTTCGATCAGCTGTGGCACGCTGCCCTCTTAAGCAAACTTCCATCCTACGGCCTCCCAGAAAAGCTTTGCAGATGGGTGGCTGACTTTATCTCTGGGCGCAAGATATCCGTCGTAATTGACGGATTCTCCTCTTCATCCCACAACGTCAACGCGGGTGTTCCCCAGGGATCGGTCTTGGCTCCAACACTGTTTCTCTTACATATCCACGACCTCCTTTCCTGCACGATCAACCCAATCCACAGCTACGCTGATGACAGCACTCTACATGCAGGAATTCAGAGTGACAAGCCGATCTCTGCCGCTGAGCTGGAAAAAAGAAGACTAGCGACGACTTCCTCTCTGACACGAGACCTGGAGGCTATCACTGCTTGGGGACGCAACAATCTTGTACAGTTCAATGCTTCCAAAACACAGTACTGTACTTTGACGAACAGAAAGCGTCCTAGCGCACATGCAGTTTCGATGGACGGTCGAGTTCTACCAAAGAGCCATTCATTTCGGCTGGTCGGAGTCCAGATCACCGAGGACCTGGCACGAACACATCTCTTCAATAGCTGCAGCTGCTGGGAAAAAGCTAGGCTATTTGTTTAGGGCTAAGAAGTACTTTTCTCCGCATGACCTTCTCACTCTATACAAGGCCCAGATAAGGCCTAGCCTCGAGTATTACTCACACATTTGGGGTGCTGCCGCCCCGACTACATTGTCCATGCTCGATGCTGTCCAGAGGAGGGCGGTCCGACTGATCGATGACTCTTCTCTAACAGACAGTCTCGGGACTCTTTCGCACCGGCGGGTCGTCGGCGATCTAGCTCTTTTCCCGCCTGACTTCGGCGTCCCATCCTAACCGTGTCAAGCTTCGTACATCCAGAACTGGCCGATACGACCGCTCCTTTGTCCCGAGGGTGTCTAGATTGTGGAACAATCTACGGGAGGAAGCTTTTCCCAGTTCTACTAACCTTAGGCATTTCAAAAATCGTATTAACAAAATTTCTTTGGGATCATCATAGCAGCCGCGGTGTTCCGGCATTTAGGCTTCTGCCTGCGCGGCTGTTTCGATATAAAAAAAATATTCAGGCAGTTTCTATGCAAGCCGGGTGATGCCGCAACATGCCGAACCTTCCGCCACGGTATCTCACAGCATGTCCTCCGATTCGGCAGGAATAATTTTCTTCTTCAGTATTGGAGTGCACGCTACAAAAAGCGATGTGAGATCGCTTTGGTGTTCTATGGTATCTGGACTCGCACCATATCCACCGATACTTCAGGATGGATTTATCGGAAATCAGGCTGAAATACTTCACGGTAGGAGACTTCAGGATTTAGTGACAGGATACCATTCAATAAGGGCTTTCCTATCTTGCACTGGAAGGTATGCTGCTGGAAGGACTTTGATATTCTTGAGCTTAACCTCAGTTGAATGTTTTTGGCAGAATTGAGCTAAAACAGGTAACAGTTGGCCAGAATGTGACTCGATAATGTACAAAATAATGAATGATACAGGAATTATGTCAGAAAACAAACATGATCTAGAGGCGATTGAATATTTTACTCCAATCAACATTCTGTCATCTCAGAAAATGTTAATTATAACACAGCTGCATCAGATAGGGGTGCTCATATGGTAACGCTGTATAACATTATATAAAGTAAAACGTTTTGATTACAAGGTGTTTGACCAAACTTGTCTAGATCTAGATATCTTCATATAAGCACTGTTATGTAGTTTTGAAGCCGCTAGCAGCTGGAAGAAGGCATCACTAGCCATACACAATGGTCCCTTATGCAGATGGTAGTACGGAAATGCTAAATAGCCATTCCGCTAATCGAAAGCACATGAAACATGATAGAGTATACAGCATTAGGTTTCATTCCTCGTTTACTACTGATTTCCTTGGTATAAAGTTACATATTTTATCGTTTGTGTAAAGCAAGTCGGGGTTCAAATTAATTTCATCTGCGCTGAGATAGTCAGATGTAATTGTATATCGCCTCACAACTGTCGCCAGCATGGTTTTCATCAGCATTAGAGCGTACTTCTCACCTAAAAAATGAAATAATCTAAGTCTCATTAGTTCAAATGATTGATTCCGAATCAATACACTTCGTGATAGTGTTGAGAAATATCGTCCGGTGACGACAAACTATTAAGTGCTACACAAGAACACCATTGCCTGAAATTAACGCAGATATTTTTTGCGAACTTATATGACCTTGGAAGCTCGGCACCATCTGTGAGAAGCCTTTTTTATACTCCAAATACCACGAAGGCCTAAGGCCTAAACACCCAAGGGGTACCGTGGCGCGATAGCGGAGTAAAGGGGAAAGGGGGCGTTGGCACATGGACTCTAGCGAAGGAACACGTGTGCAATGCAGCATGCACACATTCTGGCCCCACCTACGGGGTCCGCCGGAAGGAACCTCCGCGTTCGACAGTCAGAGCCCTACGGACAATCACAACATGCATAGCCAAGAGAAATTTCTCCTGGGACGGGATTCGAACCCGCGCAGCTCGCGACAACTGATTAGGAAACTGTCTGCGTAATCATATGTTGCTGGTGGTATTAGGTCGTCAGCGGATACTTCTTTTGAGTAGATTGTTCTCATTGCAGTCGCAGGGGAAATGAGCTGTCGAGATGCTTTGCATCACATAACAGTTGTGCGTTATGCCATGCCACTTGTCGTCGAGAGTCGCATTACTGTGTAGTGTAGTATTAAACACGCTGCAGCTCAACAAGTTATTCAGATATACTAGCGATTGTGCAGAAACAGGAAATCAAGTATGATTAATGCAATAATTCCTAAGATATTGAAATTCAGGATAAGTTATTCTTATCTTTGTTCGAAACAATAAACACTTAGGCGATACAAAAGTTTGAAGAGATTACCATAGATAGGAGCTTTCATAAAAAGTATGTTGTTGACTTCGACAATATACTCAGTTGCCGAATATTTTGAAGTACTAAATTGGCCACGCATGTCTCTTTCGATCACATACTGGGCATGTATGCGAAAATTTGCTAATATAATTTAGCAATGATGGAGTGTCCTGAAGAGTGCGCAAGGGTACTTCAGCGAGAGATTGCTACAAAAGTCACAAATACGAAATGTCTTTGTTTAGAAGAAAAAACGTAACCCATCATTTTTCGCATAAAAATAACATTTAACTTCCGGAATGGATTGTGATTCATATCGGTAAGGTAAACACATGTATTTTGCTATAAAATGCTATTTGAACGCACCCTGTATGTTGCTCAATAAACTAGAAGTGATGGCCGGAAAACAGGTGTTTTGGGATAAACAATAAGAAATTCTCAAAAACTACTTGACCAATCTACTCCAATTTTGTTGTGGTTATTTAAAAGTACGAATCCTAGGAATTTGAAGAATCTCAAATACATGCGAGACACCATCGTCGCATTACCAACAAGTGCCAGAACCTGCAGCTTGCCTCAGTTTTCGGCCATAACTCTTTTGCTATTAGTCGGATCCTTTTAAGTCTGACTTTGTAGGTCTCAGGAATACTTAAAAATTATATGAATAGTTTTTTCGTTCCTGCCAACAATTTCTATTGAATCCCATAAAACACATTTTCTCATCCTTTGTTGTCAAATAAAAATCTTTCCACAAAAGTTGGTGTACCCATTTTATGCGTCCATGTTTTGAATACCCCCTTAAACAACTTGCAGCAATAAAACCAGACTTTACAATTATTTTGCAAACCGGGGGTATTTTCGTCTAATATGATTAGACTAATATTAATATGTCATCATCCGATTGTGCACGGTTTTTGAGTTATCGCTATTTTTGAGAATTTGTGGAAAATCACTGCCTTTGAGACTGTACTAACCTTTTCTGAAGTTGCCTTTTGCTATTTTCCAATCATATTCACAGGATATATTCCGAAATGATGTGACACCAGAGAAAAAGCTTTGAATGAAAATTTGGTCCAGTTAATGTAGGTACAGCAATCGTCAAATCTGCAATTTTACAGCATTTTCAACGAGGCCTGTTCGAAAAATTAATAGGCGGAGAAACTGTTCATAGTGATAAAAAACTTCTCGATACTATGACCTTTCAAAATATCTGTGAGATAATCAAATAACTTTAAGTTGTTTCTTCACAAAGTAGACAAAATGCTAAACCCTAAATCCGGAAATTCACAATTTTTAAACTTGATACTTTAAATAAGATGTTGATCTTCTAGCTTCTGAATATGATGGGGAAACAGCTTAAGGACAAGAAATCCTCAATCTCAAATAAATTCCAGGACTTTTCAATGTACGACCAATGACCAATGGATTAATAAAAGCAGGTACACGATATAAACCAACATGGGTACCACAAAAGGAATGTGTGAATTATGCCGTACTCATTTCACTTATGTGATTCGATGCAATCTACTCGTCACAGAAATATGCCGAAGAATATCGAAACTGATATCCACGTGAAGCAAATGTCCCAGACCATCATGTGCGTAGTGCCGATGTAGCAAGAGAACAGTAAGAACAGGAAAGCCGAGGATCGGTGTAGATGCTGAAGATGTGGTACTACAGTTAACTGAAAATGTTCCGTCTAGCAACGTGCGCCATGTTTTGCGGAATGTTGGTGCAGCTAGATCGACAGTACATCCAATTTCACAGAGAAAGAGGCTTCACATACAGCGTGTGCAGGCCGTTCTTCCAGAAGACTACCCAAAGAGAGTCCAGTTTTGCAGAAGGATGCTCCAAGAATACTGAAATGACTCGCAGTTCTTCAGAAACATCTTATGGACGGACGTAGCTTATTTCCGAAGAAGCCGAATTTATAAGATAGGACATTCAGGCCGCTGGGCAGGGCGAGATGAAATAATAACATGGCCGCCTCGCTCATCAGACCTCATCCCCATCGATTTCTTTGTATGGGTTATATGAAGGAATTATGTTTTCTACTGAAACTACAACCGTACAAGTTTTAAGATAATGCATTGCTACTGTGCGCAGCAGCCTCCACGGTTAGATGATTAGAGCAGAAGGAAGACACTACGAACATCTGTAAATATCGCCTAATATGGACACAAAGAGCCGCAACATGTTTTCCGAAGGAAGAAAGAATGACCCCTAGGATATAAAGGGAATAAAGGTCAAACATCACATCAAATAATTACTTTCTAGGATATACTCTTTTTTTTGGAATCACATAAGGCTGATAATTAGGTTTACAGGATTAGGTAATGCTGCACTGCTTCAGTAACGCTGTTAACACCCAAAATAATGGCAAGGCCCCTTAGAATAAATAGACCTAGAATTCATCCGGGTTTGCAGATCTATTGTCTCATAAATATGTGCTTGTCCTATTTGGAACGGAGAAGATCAACAATGGTAGTTAAAGGTTTAAGTATCGTATAACAAATGGGAATTTCCGGATTTAGGGTGCCTGCAGCATTTTGTCTACCTTGCACCGAAACCATATAGGATATTTGATTATTTGCAAGGACATATTAGTGAGAAGTTTTTTATTGCCATGAAGACCTTATCCGCCTACTAATTTTTTTTCCACATTGAATATGCTACAATCTTTTTAACAACAGACAAAATTGCAGTTTAGACGATGGCTGTACCTACACTAACTGGACTAAATTTTCACTCATATTTTTTTTTTCAGCAAAACGTCATTTGGGAACATATCCTGTTGATCTGATTGAAAAATAGTAAAAAACAACTTCAGAAAAAATAGTACAGTCTCAAAGGCAGAAGCGGTGGCCGCAATAGTAGACTGTTCGGACTCCTGATCAGTCGCCGGGTGCTGTGCGGGTTCGAATCCCGTCCCAAGAGAAATTGTTCTCTTGGCTATGGATGTTGCGATTGTCCGTAGGTGGTAGACGGTCTTTGAATGTTGAACGCAGAGGTACCACCCGGCGGATCTCGTAGGCGGGGCCAGAATGTATGCAAGTTGCAGTTCGCCAGAGTCCGTGTGGCGTTCTCCCTTTCCCCTGTAACCCCCATAAAGCCCCACGGTACCCCATAGGTGTTTAGGCCTTAGGCCTTCGTGGTGGTTGGAAAATATGAAAAAAAGGTAGCGATAGTGAAATAAATAATGGCGGTGTATATAATATATACATTTTTCTTTCTTAGATGTTAAAATTTGCAAAGGATCGTGTTGAATAAGACTAGAAAAGGCAAGATGAATCTTATACGAGAAATTCGTGAAGTTTTTTTGTTTGTCATTTGAGACAAATAAACCAATCAATAGATGTTAAACCTTTATCTGATTGATGCCACAACTCTTCTATCCATCATATGTTCATTTTATTACCTAGACAATTTCTTGGACCACACGAGAACGCCAAGTAGGAATATTGATTCCTCTTTGCGGCATTCTCAGGCAGGAATCTATCTGGATCAAATTTCCTAGGATTTGGCCAATACTTTTCTTGGTGATGAACATCATAGACAAAAATCTTTATATGGCAGCCTGATGGAATAACTCGATGACCTAAAAATTAGATTGTAGAGTGCTTCACAGAAGATCCTGAAATCTGAGACAAGATGGAAGCCAATAGCAAGCGAGGAATAAAAAATAGCCTTTTCAAGTTAGGTCAGTAATTTGAATAATTTTCAGAACAATCATTCCAAAGGATTAAAAGACGTTGATCCGACAGAGTTCGCCTTGTATACAAGGCGTATGTCACCCATTTAGTGTACTAGATACGTATTAGTGATGTAAGACGTATGTAATGTACGTACCAATTCTCACCCTTTCTTTTGTATATCTGGTCAACGACATCATTATTGGACAAATCCTGAGCGATTCCAAAATTACCCTCTCTGTCAGTTCAAGCTGTTTGACACTTTCATGAGTAATCTTGTCATGTTCACCCACTACACTGATTATCTCCTTGTAGACTTGATCCTATCATCTCGAAATACTATTATGAGCAAGGCATTAGGAAGTATTGTGAGTATAACCTACCTGTATGTCTTTGTGAATAGAAAGGAGGACGCAACTCGACAAGAAAGCAGGCGCTGACTTGCAGGAGGTCTAAAATCAAATTCTAGATAAATGGAATGAAGTCACTCATCTACAGCAGGTGCTGCCAAGAAGCCGCTTAATAGAATATGTTGACGATCTAGCGATTATAGCGACTAGTAAGCTGAGATGCTTTTGGGTTATGTTTGAAGAAGGAAGTTGTCATACTTTACGGCAAACAGAAGCTAACTAGGTTGGCAACGTTGAGATTCGCAGCCAAGGTGCGATTGAATATCTAGGAGAGTGACTCGATAATGATCTTGAAATGACTGGGCACATCAGGCGCATAATAACAAAAAATATTACAACAGCAATTGTAACAGCAGACGAAGGAAAATATTGTGTTACATGATCGGTAACAATGACATTTGAAATACTAGGATTTTGCTAATTAGAACTACGAGTTTTGGATTACTCTGACAGTTTGTTATAGCCATTTGTCGGGATCGGGTCAATACCCAACTTACCTCACCAGCGAATAAGATCATCTCATTTGTAGAAGCTTCAATAGTTAAACCGGTATCGATGATGATATCTAATAAAGCTTGTGGCTTGTAGTCAGTTTCATTCGCTGAAATCGAAGGTGATACACTAATAATTGATATAAAGCGGAGATTTAAATATTACCATTACTCAATTTCTTTAGCTTAATTAGCTTCGACTTCCTTTCAGCAACAATCTAAAAAATAATCAGGATGCTAACATCTAGTCTTAGTCATTACTAGCATATGTCCTAAGAGTTTTCGTACAAAATTCATTGGCTTTAGTTGTAACAAACACAAAATAATATCAAGTTGCCTTTGGAAACAAAAGTTTGTTTACCTACTTTTGCTGCCAGTTGACATTTATTTATTTTAAAGTTTTCGCTTTCAGATGTATAAATTAGAAATAGGAAAAACTATCTACAAGTTGGCTGGGAGGGTACCCAAAGCTGAAATCTGTCGAATATTCCAGAATGAAAACATTTCAATCAGAACCACTTATCGAACAATAGCGGAGTGCGTGCAGACAGTACCATTTCTGAATCTCCCAAAAAGTGGAAGACCACGTGCATTTACTGTACTGAGGTCAAAGAGATAGGAAATTGGTGAGAAGAGCATAGAATCAGGTTGCAAAGTCAACAAGGAGTCTGGCTCGTCAATAGAGGTCTTCTAATTGTACGATATCGTTGGAATTGAGGAGGAATGGCCTTAAATTTACCTTAAGTGGCCTAAATACTCTCAAGCGCAATTCCTTCGTATACCGAGATGCTGTCGTCATCTGAGGCGGGTACACTTTTTCGGTTTGCTTAACCCTGAGATGAAGGGAAAAGACGCATTTTATACGGACAACGTAGAAGAATGCCCTGACAATGTTAAATCGCAACGTAAAGCGAAATTTGCAGATAAAATCCTGGTACACAAAGTGTGTGTATCCTAACCCTTTGTGGGAAGACTAAGGCCCGTATCGTCGGTCGTCCCTACATTCTCCGTGTCAGCGCTCTATTTTGAAGTTATGTCACAAACATCTGTTTGAATCAAATTGTGCTTGCTTTTGAGTTGTATCATGTTTTATCGGCGTGAAATTTCCTACAATTTAAAAAGAAAACATATCTTCACAATAGGAGAGCGCTGACGCTGACACGGGACAAGTGTAATCTAGAAATTTTTGAAGGAGAGAAAGGAGTATGACAATCAAGGAGGCCATAAACCCGCCCTACAACTGTAGGGACGACTGACGATACGGGCCTTAGGGGTGAAGCTTTGAATAGTCAAATCTATACTGATAAATGCTTTCACAAATTGCTTCAGTTTGACCACGGACATCATGCTAATGACCATAACTTGTTTTGGACAGACCTAGCATCATGCCCTTACTCAAGAAATACCCAAACTGGCTTCGTCACCACAACATAGCTTTTGTTGGGAAGACCAACAAGATGAAGAACAAGTAAGATGGCTAATTTGCGAAAAACTGAAAGAAATTCATCTGAATTCCGTCCAGGACCTCATCAGGGAGATTCGAAGAAAGTTGCGTCTGGTCTCCAAATAATTCGATAGTATAGTTTAGTTACGTATTGATCTGTAATTTATGATAACTAGTTAGTGTTTAAATAAGGTTATTCATTAAAAAAAATCCGATAAATATTTTGTGCCAAAACTTTCATATGATATATAAGTTCACATAACCAGACAGTATGTTAAAATAACTTTTAATCAGAAATTGCTTTAGCAGAATATCTGGATCGTGTAAGGAAAATCCATATTTACCCTGTTAGCATAATCTTTGAGGAACGTCAAGTTATGTTTCACAATTCTTCCCTCTGGATTGAAGTGATAATAATAGAAGTTTGCCGAAAACGGATTGTGCATTTTTTCGGTGCTGTGTTGTGACGCCCTGAAGAGTTAAAATCACTTATGTTCTCAGATGTACGCAACTACATTGAATCTTACTCACTTCAAAACTTTTTGGATGAAAAGCAAGTCAATGATATTTCCCAGGCCTGCAGTTCCTGTAGAAATTGGAGATATACGAAAAAATTAAAAATCTTATGGGCTGGTGTTCATTTTACCTACCAAAAAACATATTCGCAGTGCATCTCAGAATCAGTTGAGTTGGATTTTGATCAACATGAGCGATGCTATCGGCAAGATCGCAGCTTCTATCATAAAATACGCTGATGAATTTCTCTAATACATCTGGTTCAAAACATTTGGAAAGAAGCTTTCTATGCGACTCCCAACTCTTATCTACAAAAAGAAATGTTAAAGCTGAAATAGACTCGGATTTAGTTTTTAGAATAACAATGTTAAAATACAGAAGCAAAATTATTTTAAAACTGATCACAATACCTCTTTTCATGAACTGTATGAATCTGTAACTGAAGAAACATCTAAAAACTGAGTTGATCAGTCTTGAAAAATTAAAAGAAATAACGGAAGAATCAATCTTATTTTAAAACTGATCAGCGTGCTCTCAATCTAGAAGCTGCAGGAATCTGTTACAAAAACTGAGTCTAAAATAACGAAATCGGGGTCAACGTATACAGAAAATTATTGCAGAATCATTTCAAGCTTACTCTTTGCACAATGTTCGTAAAGTTTGTATCGCAATATGCCGCTCCAGTACACCTCTATCCCCGGAATATGCTTGTACTGTAAAAGTCTGTTAGCTAAACGCATAGCATACCTGAGACTACCAACAGCGAATCTCCTAGGTAAAGCGCTAGTTTGGAGTATCCATTACCTTTGTCAAGCGTTTTATTGCTATTCAGGATATCTTCTATCTCTTCCACATTGCTTGTCCAGTACTCATACTGGTTACCATTCCATAACGATACGGGCAGCTTATACTGATCAAATGTATTAAATAAGGTTCTTAAATAGTCTGAAAAATATACCGCCTCCTTAATAATACAATACACACAAACATACAATCAGAAGCCCAATATCGGTAGGTGATGCAAAGGTTTTTTTTATGATCCTATATATTAATTTATAGGGTAAACTGAGTTTAAATCAATTATTTGTTATTAGATGTGAGTTGAATGAGATACAGTTTCAATTTCAAATCTGTCGACGTTTCTAAAAATCTATTTCCTTTAGTTTTACACTGCAAAAATGTAAACCTTAATTATCAGTCTATGTTTATCCATAATATTCCTTCCTCGCTTATTATTATGTCATCAGAACTTAAGTTTAAGGCGACCACCATAGTTTCATACTGAAAGAGTAAGTTCAGTGTAGCTTACTACTAACTTTTAATGCATTCGAATATTGTTATTAAATAACTGATAATCTTAATATTGTTTTTGTACGAGTATGTGTATGCTGGGAATATTTACTTTTCAAAAATGTGTGTTTTTCATTCATTTTTCATAATAATCTGTTGTTAAATTGAAATTGATACACTTTTACATCTATTTCCACTATTTTAGGTAATAATATAATTGTAAAGGTAAGTGCTTTGAATTTTTTCTAGACCCGGAAAAAGGAAATACATTTTCCGAAACATAGGCAACCTTAGAGCCAAAATTCATTCGCGACAGCCAACTAACAACAAATAATTAATGTAAATAGTGGTTATTAATGTAAATAGTGGTTATTAACATCATAAAAGATCGAGGAGATGTAAACTTACTGAAGATGCAGTCTGACTAAAGATCAGGATTCGGGCCAAATAAAAAAAAACAAAAAAGGTTATCTTATACCAGGAATAAAGAATTTGAAACTATGAGCATCATAAAAGATGGAGGAGACATAAAATTACCGAAGATAAAGTCTGACTAAAGATCAAGATTCGGGCCAAATAAAAAAAAACAAAAAAGGCCGTCTTATACCAAGAATGAAGAATTTGGAACTGTGAATATCATAAAAGATAGAGGACACGTAAACTTACTGGAAATAAGGTCTGACCAAAGATCAAGATTTAGAATAAATGAAAAACCAATAATGTTATCTTATACCAAGAATAAAGAATTGGGAATTAAATATCTCAAATTCCCTTTTTATTAAAATAACAAGCCTTCCAACGTTAAAATGTCTGTGAAGTCAACCACAGTATGGCTGAATTAATAATGTTAATGGCTGCTTTGAAAGTACTTTCAATACGTTTACGTTGACAAAGCGTACTAAATGTAAGATTCGTTGTAAACATTTTGTGCATTGTTTAAAGAATTAGAAGAAAATTGAACTTGTCACTATTACGGTTAAGTTTTCGATTTGTCATAGTCACTTACTTCGTTCCTTTGTGTGGAATATGTAATTACTTCCTATTATAGGATACGCCTTGGGTCCATGAACTTTTTTAGCAAACGTGTATATTTCTGCCTTTAAATATACATCCAGCACGATGTAAGCCAGCAGGAAGGCCGAAAGATATAAAAGATACAACGTAAAATACGGTGTTTCTTCCATCTTGTGCCTTTTGTGCAGATGAACAATTAAAGAAAGATATGTGCATATATTTCAACAGGATGTATTTGATAGGGAATTCATTGCAACCAACGCAGTTTGTAGGAATCATGAGCGTACTTAAAGGAAGGTATTATTTGAAATTAACTTGCAAAATTGAAAAATAAGCTTTATCGGAACCTTCGATGAATTAGACAGAAATTAGGTCGTACCGAGACTTATTTTATACTTAGCAGTGGGAGATTTTTCGATTAAACCTTCTTAGCTGTTTGTGTTTTGTAACTACCAGAGGTACAAGTAGTGGTCTAAAAGATTTGATGCCGTATTGTTATTTTGTCTAAGTTAACATTGTTGGTCATAGCTCATTTTGTTTTAACGCATTTATTGATTTTTTCACTAATCAAGGATCCATAAACTTGATGCGTATTCCCGCTTAGAACGGACTTAGGTGCAGTATAGTGTCTCAAGTGGAGTGTAGAGTCACACTACAAAATGTTTTAAAACTTTATATCAAAACACTAAGACATTTCATGGCAGATGAGACTGTCGTATTAATATGGTCAACGAATTCTAATTTAGCATCAAACAACACATCCAAATATTTTACTTCAGAGCAACGCATTAAGTGAGAACCTTCCAGCTTGTCATCAAAAGTTGTTGGATCTGTTTTCTTGGTAAAAGAACAGAAGTTGCATTTGGCAACATTCAGAAATAATTCAAATCATATACTCCCAAATCATTGGCAAACAACAGTAAAGGTCAAGTTAAATACTTATGTATGTCATTAATGGAATAAATGAAGAAGAGAGGACCTAAATTTGATCCCTGTGGTGGCGGGATGAAACCGAGTATGGCGAAGATTTGAACCCATTGTAAGATACGTAAGTTCTATCATGCAAGTAAGGGGCAAAGAAATCCAATAGATGATTGCCGAATCCAAAATGCTGCAGTTTACCGATGATTCTTTGGTGACCACTCTGATCGAAGGCCTTCGAGAAATCTGTATAAACTACAACCATCTGGCACCTATTATCTAAAACATCCGCGATCTCCTGGGTAATATTTTAGTTAAGTTAGAAATACTTAGCGATTGAGCATAAGTTCATGTTGTGACTCATATATGAGATGCGATGCCAGAGCATAGATATAATAATTGTAGACAGCAATTTCAAATGCCTTCCCAAAATTACTAACATAGATATAGCTCGGTACTGTTCGATATTACTGGGATCGCCTGCTTTCAGAATTGGGCACACTCTTGCCTATTTCCAGTACTACAATTAACGATTTTCCTCAATGGCGTGACAAACACGTGAGCTCCATCACGAACCACAAAGCTGGGTACCATCTTTTCCTGCTGTTAACTTACTTGCTACTTTACAGAATGACTCAAGTATATCCTCATATGTAAAGCTATCTGGTTCAAAACAGTCATGCATTATCCAGAACTTCATTACCAAGAGTCATCATATCTGGTATTCTAGATGAGTCTCTCTTAGGTTGTACAGAAGACCAAAAATGAATGGAATTTGTATCGAAATCATCTTCGACTTGTTGCAAATATAGTTTGTCACAGTTTTTATTTGTTGTTTTACAATCGCTCACACCCAAGGAAATGCTCCATAGATTTTCTGACCTATGGAACGCTTAGGTTGCTGATGCAGTTTATGTTTCAATTTTAAGTTCCGAATAACGTTCGAGTTACACCAAATTGGATAATGATGCTTACGCATGACATATTTTGGAACGTAAAGGTAAAAATGAAATATAATTTTTCATAAAAGAAGTCACACATGCGTGTGCGACATCCTCCACGTTATCCAAAATAGACCAGTCAGGGGCAACTGGAATTAGCTTTCTTAAAGCTGTACGTTGGAGCTGTTGCACTCCTATCAAAATTAAAGTTGACAAATGAAATTAGTTTCACAACTTACAAAAAAAAGGAGGACGATGCAAATCCTCCTTGACTAACACAAGAAGTTTTGAAGGCCATGTCCAAGATCCTTTGTTTAGAGTTTAAAATACTATTGGAATATTCTTAAAAGCGATTTAGTGCAGTAGAATATGTCAACAGTTGTAGATTTGTCACATTAAAATCTAGAGGTCGAATATTCGATTGTTCTATTATAGTTTAATTACTTATGCACCATATACCGTGCCTTACTGTTGACTTCATTTATTTTATTTAGAACCGTCAAGGAGTACAAAGAGCAGTAACTGAATGTTCGTACTCAAAGATTTTGATATACATACAAACCTAGTCAAACGTAAGTTTACACGAATCGTTCCAAGTTTCATTGTCGATTACCACAAAGATGCTCCTCCAACTATTCTCCAGTTGCTAAAGCATCGGGATGTTGGTTGGCTAGGTTGTTGAGTTTAATGATTTACTTTGAAACTGCAATAAATTATGATAATCCTATTACGTTATAGGAGATAGGACTGACATGTTGATTAACACCATCTATTTTGTGGATATTATAAACTTTCACAAACGTTTGGTGCTTGTATTGAAATACTATAATTTTCCACATGAACAAGTTTGCACGAACGCCTATGGCGATGGTCGCCTACACATTATTAATCCGTTATCGAAAATATATTTAACAGCCGTGTACATTGTTTTCAAATTACTTTTATTGTCGCTGCATAATTTCCTCCGAAGGAAAGTTCGGTACTCGATGTGCGGCTGGTAAATCGAGTGGATAAACTAATGATTTCTGCAACTTTCTCACCTTTTCCCATAGCTCTAGAGATTCTTCGTTATCAATTCTTGCGGTGATTAAGTCAGCATTGCAACTTTTTTATTATCTTATATATTTTACACTTTCTTCATGAGATTTGGACACGTTGCCCTCATGTAAAACGATTAGTCAAAATATTATCAGATAGTGTTTCCAACAGGACGTAACAGTACTGTACTCAGGTAACATGGCTTGTTGAATAAAACCTATTTTTACTATTATCAAATAGTATACCTCGAATAACGCTTCACTGGTTTTCTGTTATTTTGGTGCAGCTCAATTTTTTTACACCGGAGCGGCCAGACTGGCAGAAGCCTGAATGCTAGGGCACCACGGCTGCTATGAGGATGTTGTTCCGTTTTTTGAACTGCCTAAGGCTAGTAGAACTGTGAAAAGCTTCCTCATGTAGATTGGTCCACGATTTCGAAACCATGGGTATAAAGCAGAGCGGTCGTATCGGCCAGTTCTTGTATGGAGCTCGACGCGGTTAGGATGGGAGGCGGGTGTGTCTAGCAGGCACACCTCGAGGTGGAATCTTGGAGGAGAGCTCTGACGAGCAAAGCCCAGGCTTTTTCCCAACAGCTGCTGCTATTGACGAGATGTGTCCATGCCAGATCAAGTCCCCGGTGATCTGGACGACCAGCCCAAATGAACGACTCGTTGGTAGAACTCGGTCATCCATCGAAGCCGAATGAAAGTTACGACATTTCTTGTTAGTCTATTACAATTTCTACTAGACTAAAAATTAACTATATCTTGACAAAGTAAATTATTACGACGTGTTTCTTATTTAGAATAATAATTTTTATCACAGTTCTTAAAAATATTGAATTTTATTTTATCGCAAAACTCTTTTCTTGTTCTAATGATTCTGTGGTGGAAGATCGCACTCTACTCTCCATCTCTTTAAAGGTTATTGCCTGGATGAGGTTGATCTTGCTGTTCGACAATAGAGGGCGTGCGGAATGGTCAACGCAGGGATGGCCACGGAACGGGAATTGTTTCGTTATAGAATTGTCGTTGTGAGGTTAAAACCCGAAATTTTTTGTAATTTCCCTCGAACTTAAATACAAGAACTGAACGTGACTTGGTGATATTTTCGGTGCTCTCGTGTAGCAGTTCAGCGGCCACGACCTGCGTTAGTGAAACAATTTCACACCCAGTGCTGGGTTTGCCGGGTTGTGAATTTTTTTATAGAAATCGGCCTCCATTGGTGAATTTTGCTGTCAGGGCCATTTTCTCATCCTCTTGTGGATTTAGTCATTGTTGCAGCTACACCTAAACTAGCATTTTCTTCGATAATCTCCATAGCAGTTATCTCTTCTCTTGTATGGGAATCAATCCCAGCATTCTCTAATAACTAAGCACCTACCTAGGTGATTTAATTTCCTTTTGCTTGTCTCCCCGGACTGTTTTTAACATTTTTTTTTTCAATAAACGTTTGTGTGCCTAGTGAATCTGTGTTTCCCTTAGCTCCAGAGACCCATCATTTGGCAGTCAGTTTAAGTTTTGATAGGCCGAAATGCACTTCTTGTTATTTCTTTTCCTAGTTCTTGGAACTAGGTGGCGCCCTAACCTCAACCATTTGTATCAAAGATCAAACTTCAAAGAACCACACTCTACCAACTTATCTACCAACTGAGCTCAGGGTTAGTAATATGTTTCCCCCAAATTATAATTAGAAATACCATAAAGACAGGATAACACAGCTTTTGCGGGATAACACCTCAGGGTACATACTGCGTTTTAGAAGCATTAAACTGTACAAGATTGTCCCCAAGTAGTGATTAAAACTCCAGCTATCTCGTTAGATAGTCTTCTTTTCTCCAGCTCAGTGGCAGAGATTGGCTTGTCATTCTGAATTCCTGCATGTAGGGTGCTGAAATCAGCAAGGCTGTGGATTGGATTGATCGTACAGGAAAAAAGGTCATTGATATGTAACAGGAAGAATGTCGGACCCAAAACCGATCCCTGGAAAAGGAGGAATGATAGAAAAATAACTACAAGTTGAAATCCTTTTTATAGAAGGGTCACCTCAGGTATCGTTACGTAAATATCAATTGCACTCATACAGAGGTTGAAAATATGTGCATCCGCTACGTACCTTAGCAATTGAAACAACAGCGTGAAGTATTGTAACAATATGGAAGCCTCATGTGTCAGTTAACCCGAGAAGATGCTAGAAAATAGGACATCACTTAACTTAGCTACCGTGATACCTGAATCTTACTCCGTGGTTGAGTCGTTGATAAATCTCCATGTTTCACAGGCCTCTAAATACAGTCACAGGTGTCGAATTGAAGATTTACTAACGATCGTGGACTTTGGTGGGCGGTGGCATTTTTAAGAAAGCATCCCGCGATTTCGGCGTGGCAGAAGACTGTTCGGACTTATTGAAACACACTATATACGGCAAAAAATCTGGAAGACATACATGCAAAATGTATTGCAAATATGATTTTTGATCTGTACTTTAAAAGAAGCCACCGACATCGCCGAAACGTTAATATATCGTTTCTTATAGTGATGCAGAAGCCTAAATACCGTGATGCCGCGACTACTATTGAGTTCAAGTACTCTTTGTTAATTTGATTCTTC